CCCTACATTTTTAATTGTTAAGTCAGACGAAACGCATTTGCAATTCCCATCGAGGTTTTGAATATGACAAATATAATACCTATTGTTATTGCTGACATGTGCATTAGTGTTTCAGATAAATGAAAATAAGTTCAGGAAAAATGAAGGGCAAGAATGATCAAGCATAATCGAGTTGGATGAGACATCAGACGATGGCAGGAGTTAGTATCAAGACTAATTACCCACAAACTATTAGTCTCCACTAACATCCTCCATTTCAACTTTCCTAGTAATGCCAAATTGAAAGCAGTTAGATCCCTAATCCCTAAACCTCCTTTGTTCTTCTCTCTACATACGTCATCACATGCAACCCAATGTATTTTTTTATGATCAGCATCCCCTCCCCATAAAAAAAGATTTAAATAAAGATTCAAGTTGAGAAATTATTCCTCTTGGGGCCTTGAAGAAGGAGAGGAAGTAAATCAGAATTGAATGTAGTACAGACTTTAAGAGAGTAATTCTACCACCAAAGGACATGGAATCACACTTCCAACTAGATAATCTCTTTTGGATCTTCTCAATTACAGGTTGCCACGTATCTAATCGTTTCGGATTGGCGCCGATTGGTAGCCCAAGATAAGTAAAAGGTAGACTCCCTATCCGACAATGCAAAAACATTGCCATTGATTGTAGCCAAAGAGTATCCACATGGAATCCGAGTAATTGACTTTTTAAAAAATTGATTTTTAACCCAGATGCAAGTTCAAAAAGTCTCAAGATGGATTTGATAGCCCAAATGTTTGACTCTTTTGCTTTTGCCAAGATGATAGTGTCATCTGCATAATGTAGAACATCCACTTGTTGGTTTCTCCCGACTTCATATCCCGTGAAAGTGCCCAACTGACTAGCTTTTTTGAAGAGCCCATTCAATCCTTCGACAACAATTAGGAAGAGAAACGGTGCTAAAGGGTCTCCCTGTCTTAATCCTTTTGACACAGTGAATTCTTCTGTAGGACTTCCATTTACCAAAATTGATACTCTAGATGTTTGCAAACATTCTGCAATCCAATCGCACCATTTAGGAGGAAACCCCATAGTGAGCATCATGTGTTGTAAAAAATTCCAGTTCACCGAGTCATAGGCTTTTGCAAAATCAACTTTGAACATCAAGCATTTTTTCTTCTTTTGCTTCACTTCCTCCACCACTTCATTAGCCACCAAGATACTATCTAGAGTATGTCTGCCTTTGATGAAAGCAGACTGAGACTCAGATATAACACTTCCAATCACCTTTCGCAGCCTATTAGCCAAGACCTTAGACAAAACCTTATACATACAACCAATGAGAGATATTGGTCAATAGTCTTCTACACGTTGTGGGATGTCCTTTTTTGGAATTAAAACAATAAAAGAGTTGTTTGCACCTTTAACTAATCTACCATAAACATGAAAATCTGTGAAAAATGACATAAAATCAGCCTGCATTATGTCCCAAAAATCTTTTATAAAATAAAAATTGAAGCCATCTGGTCCCGGGCTCTTTGTATTTTCACAATCCCACACTGCTGCCTTGACTTCTTGTAAGGAAAATGGCTCTATCAACATCTCAAATTTTGTTGGATTTAAAGTTTTGAAATCCAGTCCCTGAAAGTAAGGTCGATTCCATTTACAATCTTGAAAATGCCTTTCAAAATGGTCTTTAAGAGCATGCTTAATTTGCTCTGGCTCAATAAGTCTACTGCCGGCCACCTTTAAACAACGTATTTCATTGATCTTCATTCGTTGGTTGATACACCCATGGAAAAATCTGGTGTTAGCATCCGCTTCTTGTAGCCACCGAGTTCTAGACTTTTGAAGCAATAAACTTTCCTTTTGATGCGCATAATGATGCCACGTAGCCAACAGTTCCTTCCTTTGAAGTACTTCTTCCATTGTTAAGCCAAAATCTTCACCTTTGCAATCTAATCTTGTCACTTGCTTTCTTGCTTCATTTATCTTTTTATTCAAATCGCTGAATACCTCTTTATTCCACACTTTAAGCTTGCATTTCATACCTCTCAGCTTTTCTTTTAAAATAAAACCTGCCCAACCTTCAACCTTTAGCCCCCTCCATTCATTTTTTACAAAGTCTACAAACCCCACTTCATTGCGCCAACAATTTAGAACTTTAAAAGGTTTAGGGCCCCAATCTAAGTCTTCCATTTTTAAAATAATAGGGCAATGATCTGACACTCCTCTACTCAATGCCCATTGAGATAAGTTAGGCCACTGATCTAGCCACCCAATTGTGATTAAAAAACGGTTTATCCTACTCATGCATGTCCCATCCGGCTTGTACCATGTGTATTTCCTTCCAGACAAAGGCAAATCAATTAGAGATGTTTTTTGAATGAATTCAGCAAAGCATTCTGCCTTTTCTCTTCTAAAATTTACAGCTACACCTTTCCTTTCCTTTGCATCCTTAACTGAATTGAAATCACCAACTAAGCACCATCTGGCACCCCCTTTCTCATCCATTAGTGCATGTAATCTAACCCAAAGATCCTTCTTCAACTGTTGTACACAAGGAGCATAGACATTGACCACCCAACAATCCAAGTTTTGTTCCCCCCACCTTCCATACAAAGCAATAAAATTGGGTTGAATAATTGATGTCTCTAATTTAAAAATAGAAGTTTTCCATATAGATACAATCCCACCAGACCTTCCTTCAGATGGATAAAATGCCCATTCAAAATCATCTGCACCCCACAATGATGCACATAATTTCTTATCAACCGACTCCTTTTTAGTTTCTTGAAGGCACACCATATCAACATTCTCTGACCTAACCAAATTTCTAACCTCCACCACTTTCAAACGCCCCCCTAGTCCCCTGATATTAAATGATAGAATCTTCATAAAAACATTGAAAAACACCACCCTCCTAGCTATAAGTCCCTAACTAGGTATACTCGTTCTGCCCCTCTCAATAGTAGATCCCCTGTCTCTTATTTCCATAGCTACCAGCTGTGCCAATACCTCCCCATCATTTGCACATTTAACAACCCCCTGCTCCAAACCAAATTCCCAGATATTTTTTGCTACTTCTAGAGGGTTATTTGTTGTACCAATAAGACTTCTATTACTCAAATGAGGTAAATAATTAATAGAAGTAGTGGCTAACCTTTGTGTTTGATGGCCCTTCTTTTTTGGTCTTCCCCTTCCTTTCTTGTTCTTGTACTCGAATTCCTCCATCCTAACAGCTTGATTTATCCCATCCGCATTGTACGCTTCAATAACTGGAACTTCGCTTAAGCCTTCAAGATCCATGTTGACATAATCACCCCCTTGGTTTTGCTCTTGTGAATTGACATCAATTACAACATCCCCTCGTGAAGACTTTTGACAATTCTCCTGTTGAATCTCATAGTCATGTTCCGGATTTCGATATTCATTGCTCTCTGGTAGCACCTCCACCACACAAACACTTGTACCAGTCTTACAATCTCCACTCAATTGTAGCCGTTGATCATCATCAGAAGGGACATCAAGTGTTGCGTTATTTAATGGTTCAGATTGCACCTCTTGAAGTGAATTCCTCCCAGCGTCCACTTCTAAAAGTTGGGCCCCCACCTCTTGCTCCACGTACAATGTCTCGCGACCATCATCATTTGGTCGCATAATGGTTCCTTCATGATGGGCCTTTAGACCATTTTGTGCATTCGCCACTATAGCCATCAACATTGGGCTATTTACCCCAATCCCTTGAGCATCACGATTGGGCCTAATCTCTGGACAACTTGCGAATTGAACTTCAATTGCCTTATCTGAATAGGTTGCATTTTCCGTAATTCTTGCATTTTAGTGATCTTTATTTTGTGCATTAGCCCTCATCTCCTTAACTCTTTCCGTATAAACCTCCTCACCTTCTACATTATTCTCGGAGCATAATATTTCCTCATCAATGACATTTTCAAATTCAAAACCATCATTATCCAAAATATGAGGGAAACTATCCGATGAAGCATTGCTAGATGATTCATCTGAATCAGTGTGATAATTCTCTACTCCTTTGTTCCAAGTATTACCATTAACTCCAAAATAATTCAACGGATCAGTATATGGTTCTTCAATAATCCGAACAGAGAACAAATCACCATTAACCTTAACTTGAAACATACTATTTATGACCTCCAGGGAGGTAGTATGAATCAATACTCTTGCAATATCAAGTCTCTGTTTGAGAGTGGTTGGCCCATCCAATGATACTAATCGCCCCATATGACTTACTATTAACTCAAAAAATGAGTGATTCCATGCATGAAGAGGGATTCCCTGGCACCTAACCCACGCATATCTTACTCTAGGTAATTCATGTGATGACCAAGGTCGTAATTCTCTAAACCATCTTGTACTGTCCGTACCGCGAAGCCGAGCTCCGAGCTCGGCATCACAGCACAAAATGAGGTCGGGCACGCGCTACGCGACGTCAGCTCGGCATTTAAGCAGATCATAACCGATCTCGAGGGATCTCGCTCCAGAAGGGATCCACCATTTAATCCTATCATATCTTATCTCAGGCCCAAGGCCCAAAGCAACCCTAATTCACACTAAGGTACGTGCATTACTTATACGAGATTCATACTCCCACAAACACTAACTTTGGCATCGGAGTCTCTTTTGCAGGTACCACCCCCATCTTGGAGCACCAGCGTACCAGTGAAGGAGGCTTACCGATCTTACCTGACGGATTAGCTCTACAGCAAATTTCCAGTAAGAACATTTGGCGCCCACCGTGGGGCCGATCAAGACAGCTCTTATCGACCACCCTTATGGTTTTCACCAGAAGCCATAGTAGACGCACAACATACGACACAAACCACTCAACTACCATGGATAACGAAGCAGCGTTGAGAAGATTAATCGACCAGTTCGAACAGATGCGGCAGCAACAAGCCGTCGACCTACAAATCATGCGTGCCAAGCACGACACTGACCTAGCGGCATTGCGTACCGCTAATGAGGCTGACCTAGCAGCTCTGCGCACGGAAAACAAGAGGATTCGCGCTCAACCCCAGCGGCAACACTCTGATCATCCCTCCGGCTCTCAACCTAACCCCGGCGGAGCAATGCGAGCCGAGGTAGCCCAGGAAGCAGGATCAACTCCGCCACAAGGAGTGATCAGCACAATTGCAGGAGGTTTCGCAGGAGGGGGAGCCAACACCTCGGCCCGGAAAAAACACCTGCGCAACATCAACCGCGTACAATCCACCACCTTTGCTTCGCACCAGAGCTCGCTGACGATCACTTTCACCGACGATGACTATGCTGGGGTCAACCCCAACCAGGATGATCCCATGGTTATCGCCGTGGCATTAGCCAATTGGGAGGTTCACAAGACCCTGGTCGACCAAGGGAGCTCGGCCGACATCCTATATTGGCCAACGTTCCTCAGGTTAGACGTCCCCCACTCTCTCATACAACCTCACACAGAACCCCTAGTCAGTTTTGCAGGAAGAAGTGTTCACACTCGGGGGTACGTGGACTTACTGACGACTTTCGGAGCACCTCCGGATTCAAGGCGGGTCATGGTTCGATACCTCCTCGTGGAAGCCGACACCTCCTATAACATCATCATCGGCAGGCCAACCTTAAATCAGCTCGGAGCGGTGGTGTCCACCCCACACCTCACCATGAAATTCCCAGGGCATGATGGGAAGATTATCTCCGTCAAAGCAAATCAGAAGATAGCACGACAATGCTACACCGAAAGCCTGAAAATTGCCTCACTCGGCGAACAATGCAAGAGCAACCTCACCGCCGTGGCTCACACCAACCACGAAGAAATCACTGACCTCGATCCAAGATCCGACGCTCATGAAAAGCGGCCTAGCCCCATTGACAAACTCGATGACCTCCAGGTCGGGGAACTCCCCGGGCAAACCACGAAGATCAGCAGATAGTTGACCCCAGAGTTGCGACAGCAACTTGAAGCGGAAATCCTCAAGAATGCCGACCTCTTTGCCTGGTCTAGCGCTGACATGCCAGGTATAGATGCCGATTTCATCTTCCACATGCTAGCAATACATAAGGAGGCAAAACCAATCGCCTAGAGGAAGAGGAAGGTTGGCGGCGAAAGACGGGAGGCCATCGTCGCCCCAACACAAAAATTGCTCAACGCAGGCTTCATCCGCGAAGTCAGATACACCACATGGCTGGAAAACGTGGTCCTGGTAAAGAAGAACTCGGGGGAGTGGCGTATGTGTGTCGACTATACCGACCTAAACAAAGCATGCCCAAAGGACTCATACCCCTTGCCGAGCATTGATAGGTTAATCGACGGAGCCTCCGGACACGCCCTCCTCAGTTTCCTCGACGCCTACTCTGGGTACAACCAGATAATGATGTACCCACCTGATGAAGTGCACACGTCCTTCATCACCGACCACGCCAACTACTGCTACCGGGTGATGCCCTTCGGTCTCAAAAATGCGGGGGCAACCTACTAGCGACTGATGGATAAGGTCTTCCATCAACAGATCGGGAGAAACATGGAAGTTTACGTCGACGACATGGTAGTCAAAACCATCTCGGCGACAGACCACGCTACCGATCTCGCCGAAGTATTCGCCCAGGTCAGGAAGCATAACATGCGCCTCAACCTAGAGAAATGTGTCTTTGGTGTCCAGGGAGGAAAGTTCCTCGGCTTCATGATTACCAGCAGAGGAATCGAGGCCAACCCCGAGAAGTGCAAAGCCATCATCCAGATGCAAAGCCCACAAACGGTTAGTCTCACTGTCCCACTTCATTCCCAAACTCGCGGAGAAGGTGGGACCAATCTTCACTCTGCTAAAAAAGCCAAAAGATTTCCTGTGGACAGATCAGTGCGAAGAAGCTTTCCAAAGCTTCAAAACCTTCCTTACAACTCCACCGATCCTACAAAGGCCGGATCACAACACCGACCTCCTCCTCTACTTGGCAGTAGCGGAAAACGCCATCAGCGTAGTTATCGTACAAGAACACCAAAAGGTACAAACACCTATCTACTTCATCAACCGAGTCCTCCAAGACGCGAAAAGGAGATACCAAATGATCGAGAAGCTGGCATTGGCGCTCGTCACCGCAGCTCGGCGGCTCCGACCCTACTGCTAGAGCCACCAGGTGGTAGTCAAAACTGACTACCCCATCAAGCAAATTCTGCGAAAACCCGAGCTCGCCGGACGCATGATCGCCTGGTTGGTAGAACTATCTGAATTCGGCATCCCGTACGAAAGTCGCGGACCCCTGAAGGCCCAATGCTTAGCCGACTTCGTAGCCGAGCTCACGCCAACTACTGCCGAAGAACCCCAGGTATGGACTTTGCATGTTGACGGGTCCTCCAACTCTAAAGGCGGTGGTGTAGACATCATTCTGGAAGGGCCAAACCAAGTCACCTTGGAGCAATCCCTCAAGTTTGGCTTCAAGGTGACCAATAACCAGGCGGAGTACGAGGCATTTCTCGCAGGACTGAGGCTAGCTCGCGACCTCAGAGATCGAAGAGTGAGTTGCAACAGTGACTCGAAACTCATGGTGGAGCAACTCAGTGGGACGTACCAAGCAAAGGACACTCTACTGCAGCGGTACTTTCACACTGCGTCCCACTAGATCTCGTCCTTCGACGAATTCACCATAAAGCATGTGCCGCGAGAACAAAACGCCCGAGCCGACCTCCTATTGAAGCTCGCCAGCACCAAAAGGCCTGGAAAGCACCGAACTATCATCCAGGAAACCTTGCACTCACCCAGCTTAGACGACAAGGTCGTCAACGTCAGTAACAACGAGGACCTAGGATGGATGGCAGGCATCTGGGGCTACTTGAAAGAAGGAATCCTGCCCGAGGATAAAGACGAAGCTCGGAAGATAAGGATGAGATCGGCCAAGTTCATCATCATCGGAGATGAATTATTCAAGCGTGACATTTCCTTTCCACTGCTCAAATGCCTGACTGAGTCGCAGGCAGCCTATGTCATCAAGGAAATTCACCAGGGAATATGCGGCATGCATTCCGGGGCGCGTTCAATGGCAACCAGAGTACTTTGAGCTGGCTATTACTGGCCCACTCTGAAGTCGGATTGCCAAAGCCACATCCAAAAATGCAAAGAATGCCAGCAGTTCGGCAACGCACACCGACAACCGCCCGAAACTCTCCACCGCATGATGTCGGCGTGACCTTTCTCCCAGTGGGGAATGGACATCCTCGGGCCATTCCCCCCTGCGAAAGGCCATATAAAGTTCCTCTTGGTGGCGATCGACTACTTCACCAAGTGGATCGAAGCATGTCCACTCGCCAAGATCACCACCGAGAACGTGTGGAAATTCACCTGGAAGAACATCATCTGCAGGTTCGGAATCCCTCATGCCCTCGTAACAGACAACGACCGATAGTTCATCGCACAAGAATTTCAGGAATTCGAGGACTTCCTCCGCGAACTCGGAATCAAACACCTTTCGACCTCGGTGGAACACCCTCAGACCAATGGCCAGGCCGAAGCCGCCAACAAGGTCATCCTCCGGGAACTCAAAAAGTGACTAGGAAACGCCAAAGGACAGTGGCCCGACGAACTTCCCAGCATCCTCTGGGCGTATCATTGTACCCCCCAGTCAACTACACAAGAGACGCCTTACAGGCTGACCTACGGAGCTGATGCAATGATCCCAGTAGAAGTCGGCAAAACATCCCACAGGCGCTAAGTCTTTAACGGCGAACAGAGTGCCCAAGAACTGGCAGCTGACCTCGACTTAGTGGACGAGCTTAGAGACGAAGCTCAAATCCACGAAGAAGCCTGCAAGCTCCGAGCTTCCCGAAGATACAACACCCGAGTAAAACCTCGCTCGTTCCGAGTAGGTGACTTGGTATGGCGATTACTAGGCGAAGTAAGAAAGGACACGTCAGATGGGAAACTCG